CCCCCAGCTCCATCCCCCCAGCAGGGCGTGGGACAGGCTGGGGCTCAGGAGAGGGGTCCGTGGGGTGAGGGGGCAGCAGGGAGACCCCCCTGTGTCACGGCCAGAAGGTGGGCACCCTTGTCACAGGTGGGCATCCTCCCCCATGGCACCCTCCCCCCAGCATCTGCAGAGCTCCCCGGGGTGCAAGTGCCCTGCCCTGACCCAGGTGCCACCTCCAAGCTGCACCCTCAGTGGCAAAATGCACCCACCCTGGCTCCTGTCACCCATCCTGGTTCTTGTCACCCACCCTGGCTCCCTGGCTCTTGTCACCCATCCTGGCTCCTGTCACCCACCCTGGCTCCTGTCACCCATCCTGGCTCTTGTCACCCATCCTGGTTCCTGTCACCCACCCTGGCTCCCTGGCTCTTGTCACCCACCCTGGCTCCTGTCACCCATCCTGGCTCCTGTCACCCACCCTGGCTCCTGTCACCCATTCCCTGAGCAACCACCTGAGGAGGGTGAGAACAGGGGGAAGCTGCAACCAGAAGGGAAACGTGGACTCCAGGGAGAAGAAGAGAGCAAAGGCAGGAGACAAGGGAAATGAGAGGATGGGCAGGTCACATCTGGAGAAGTGGGGTGACTCTGGAGAACAAAACTAGACAGGGGAAAGGCACCAATCACCCACCTCTCACTCTCCACCATCACTCTTTTCAGGTGATCTGTGGCCAAGAAGCAGGGAAAGGTGCAGAGCAACGTGAACCCAAGAGCCAGGAGGGAGCTCAGGTGCAGAAGACTGAGCTGCTCTCTCCAAAATCCCTGTTAACTCCAACCTTACTGCAGAACATGACCCTCTTGGAGCTGGTGAGCAGCTCGTGGGAGTTATGGGACATCCTGGACAACCTGTCCAAGCAGGACCACACTCCACATTCCAGAGGACAGAGGGACTTGGGGTCAGCTTCAGGCAAGCTGAAAAAAATTTTTGGCTGGGGAGATTTCTATTCCAACATCAAGACAGTGAAGTTGAACCTCTTGATCACCGGAAAGGTGGTTGATCACGGCAATGGCACAGTCAACGTCTTCTTCAGACACAACTCCACTGGGCAAGGGAACATCTCTGTCAGCCTCGTCCCTCCCACCAAGGCAGTGGAGTTTGACCTGGAGCAACAGATCTTCATCGAGGCCAAAGAATCCAAGATCTTCAACTGCCGCGTGGAGTACGAGAAGGTGGATCGTGCCAAGAAGACCACGCTCTGCACTTACGACCCATCCAAGACCTGCTACCATGAGCACACCCAGAGCCACGTCTCCTGGGTCTGCTCCAAGCCCTTCAAAGTCATCTGCATCTACATCACCTTCTACAGCATAGACTACAGGCTGGTGCAGAAGGTGTGTCCTGACTACAACTACCACAGCGACGTGCCCTACTACCCCTCAGGATGAAGATCCCATCTCAGGAGGACCCCGGTGACAGGAGGGCACTTGGGAGGGCAGGGAGGGGGGGGGTGACAGGGACAATTCTGTAAGCAGGGGTGGGGGAGCAGCTGTCCCTAGAAACCAGAAGCAAAGAAGGAAAAGGAGGGTTTTCCCCATTTTTTTTCCCCCAAAACTCCAAAGTCAAGAGGAGGAACTTCAGGCTTTGGGGTACCAGCATCACTAAACCTGGCCTGGGTCTGTGGTCTTTAGAGACTGGTGTGAGGAGGCAGGGTCTGAACCTGGGATACAGAAAATAGGATGTAAAAACCACCATCAGGACTCGTGTTCCTCCTTGCAATAATGGATGGGCCTGGATTTAGGCCACCAAAGGTTGGTGACCAGGCACAGAGGGCTCCAGAAGCAGGTTTACACAGCCTGGAGCCAGGGGAAGACCTCGGGGTGGGGAGGTGGTGGGGAGGCAGGCACCTGGTTCTCTCCATGGCTGTAGGACATCCATGGGCAACTGCAACATCTCCCCCATGTCCAAGCTCTGCAGCAGTGGGAGCTGGAGCCGAGTTTGGTGGGAGCTGAAGCTGAGCTTTCCCACCTTGGGATGCAAAGGGCTGGAAAAGGGGAGGTGGGACAGTTGGGAGGGACCTTCCTGGGGTGCCACCCCAGCACAGCTCACACCAGGCACTGGGAGGTGGTTTGGGGACTTGAAGATCTGGCTCAGGAGGTAGAGAAATCCTGGTAGATCTGTCCAACCTGCTGCCACAGTGTGTGATTCATGTGTTCCCCTGACACGCCGTGATTCATGCCTTTGCCCTTCATCTCATCCCTGCTTCCTGGCACCCATTCCCACCCTCATCCAGCCACATCCAGCTCCTGTTCCCTGGTGCAAGGGTGCCCACACGTGTGTGAAGTGGAGATCTGACTGTAGCATTTTACTTGAAGAAGAAAAACAACACCAAAAACCCACCAACACAACCCAACAACGTTGTCCTTCAAGAGAGACAATAAAGTTTTCACAGTGGCATCCAGGCAGGTCGAGTGGTTTTCCTGGGAGCAATTGCAGCCTCTCCTGGGGGAGAAGGGAAATGAAGTGGTGGGGTTGGGAGGGAGGCTCAGGGCATCCCCACCACATTTGGCTCTGTTCAGATGCAGCTGAACCTGTCTCCTACTCATCAGGCAGTGGGTCCAGCTTTGGGCTCTGCCAGGACCCAGATTTTCCCCTATTGCTTGTGCACCTGCACCACTGGTGGGGATTCCCACCCTCCTCCCTTTCCCCATCCATCCAGGCTTTGGGCTCCCACTTCAATGGGGATATTCCCCCCTACAGAGAAGACCCCCCAAAAAAGAGCAGCTTCCCAACCTCTCCCCCCCCTGCCCCTCCACCCTTTTCCCAAAAACAAAAATCCCCCCCCATATACAGAGCACCAGGGCAGCTCCAAAACTCCCCTCAGACCAACCAAACCCCAGCCAAGTTCCAAGGCTGGTATCACCACCAGAAGAGGTTTTATCCTTCAGCCTCCACAGGTCAAATTCCTTCTCCTCAGCTGGCAGGGAGATGTGCTGGCTGCTGGCAAAGCTTCAACACAGGCACTTTTACATCTAGATGCAGAGGCCAGGTCCAAAATACATCGAGCAAAGAAAGCCTTTTAGTGCAATAATCAATGAGAAGATTTTAACTCCGAGGACAGAAAGTTGAAAATGCTTTGAGGGGTTGGGTTCAGAAAGGAACAGGAGGAATATCTGGTCCTGGGCGGGAGGAGGGGGAGAAACAAACCCTCCCAGGAGCTGCCTCACAAAAGTCTGTTCCCCAAGGAACAAGACTTGCCTTGCTTGAAAGAAGGAACACAAGAAGACAAGTCCAACCCCCCTCTGTCAGCACAGCCAAACCAAACAAAACCACCACACGCACAAGTTGCTCATTTGGAGAAATTTCAGACAATTGCCCGTGGAAGAAACAGAGCAGGCAGGGGAGCAGGGAAGCAGGCGACAAAGGATGCTCCATTGTCAAAAGGGATGTGGCAGCAGCAGTTACTAGGAGACCAGGATGGGCCATTATTGGGGCTTGGGAGAAGAGAATTCCTGCCAGCAGAGTCACAACCCGAGCTGAGAAAAGGAGGATTTCGTTGAGCTGGAGAGCAAACAATACAAGAGGGGAAACAATCCCACCCTCAATGTGCCCGCTGCTCAGCCCCCCCCTACAGGATGAAGCCCTTGGGGTTCTTGGGGTGACATTCCCCTCGTTAGGGGCCAAGTCAAGGTGAACTTGGGTCCCTTGTGATTTGCTTCTTGGGGTGATGCTCAAGCTCTGCCGTGCAGGAGAGCTTGGCCACGGGGTTTCTTCTGCTTCTTCAATCCCTGTGACTGCCTCTGCTGCACCATTCCACAAGCTTTCATTTCTTTCCCCATTAGCAGACGGACATAAAATGTACCCGGGGGTGGAGGGAGGGAACTAAAACACCTCCAAACCAAGTTCCACGAGTTGCAAACTTCACGACAAAGGAAGCAGCGTGTAATGACTGTGGAAAGGAGGCTTCAGAAGTCCTGCGTGACACCAGGGTTCAGCAAAGTGCCACCGAAACACTCGCAGGCATCTCTGCAATTAGAGCCTGTCTCCATTTATAAAATGCAGCCCCTTCTCATCTCTGATAACTCACTGGACAGACAATCTTTTGTCTCCAAAGCAGGCAAAGCCCCTGATGGGAGCTACTTACCGACTGTCATCTCCAACTGCACAGTGAATGTTCTCCATCTCCAGTCATTAGCTCCCTTTAGTTTGTTAATACTTCTTCCTCTTCCCCACTAAATCCTCCTAATTTAAATTTCATGAGCCTCCCAGCCGAGCTAACCTGGGCTTCTGCACATTTAGCAACTGCCTTCCCAGCACAGCCTGCTCCACCCTCCCCAAGTCAATCAGCAGCCCCCAGCCACTAATTGCACTCATTAGGGCTGGTGAGGACCAGGCGAGCTGGGTTCTCCAGCACTAGAAAAGAGGCAGGACAAAAATAAAATAACCAGGAGCAGCTGGATTTGCTGCAGGAATCCAACCACCCCAACACATCTCCCCTGGTCTCCCATCACTTCTGCCTCTTCTGGCTCTAAGGGTGATGAGACTTCCCCCAGCTTCTTTAAAACACTGATTAATATTTGAGCAATTAACTCTGCACAGCCCAAGTGCTCCTTTGTTCATTTTGCCCTGTGCTATAAAAAATAATCGAGCCCAAATTAACTCAAATCCATCTCTCTGGGGGTCCCTGGAACCTCTTCTCTCCCTTTATAATCTTCCAGTCAATCAGACATTGGGGTTTTTTTCCTACCATTTCCTATTTACCATATTAAAAAAGACCCCAAAACAGATTCAAAAGAGACTCTCAGCTATCCAAACTGTGCTAATCCAGCCAGGATTTTGGAAAGAACAAACCTCCCAGGAAGGTACCATTTCATGCAAAGATGGCACAACCAGACCCTTCTCACCACTACAACAGCTTCAAGGCATCAATTTCTCTCAGCTCAGGGTCAGGCAGGTTTTGTTGGTTTTTTTTTCTTTCCAAACAAACATTTTTAGCAGGTTCCAGTCAGATGCCAAGATCTCAAAGATGAAGGAAGTTTGGTCCTGAAAAGCTTCAGCACAAACTCATGAGCAGCAAAAGGTGGTTGGCACAAGAGCCCTTCCTTGAGGTGAGAACTTCTTATGGAGCTGCCAAACTCTGAGGTTTTCACCAGAATTTGGCAATATCTGGAGGAGTTCCCCAGGTGGTGGCTATCACAGCCACTTGGTTACTCCAGAACTTCCATAAAAACAATTGGCTTAATCACACACACACACAAAAAATCACCCAACAAGGAAATGGGATTTCTAGAGGCTTAGATGTCAAAACAGAACCATAAAGCTCAATTGGTGTCAGACCTCATGATTTCTACATCCATCTCACTTTATGGTCCATCTCAGGCTTTCTTTTATCAGGTTTTCAGGCTGCTGATGCTGAGGTTCCTGCAGCTGGGTGAGCCTATCACGAGTTGCTTGGAGGGCACTGGAAGCTCCAAGCATTTACATTTTTGTTGCTCCTGGTTTTTTGCATCTCCCCAAGTCTCCAGCACAGCTCCCATAACATCACTTGCTCAGGACAAACCTAACCCAAAGTGCTGAGGTTGAGCCTCATGGAGGGAATCCCAACCTAAGTGCTTTCACAACCCAAGTAACCACGTTTTAGTTTCGTGCCCCAACCATCAAGTCGCTGGTAGAGCCTCCACTGAGCTGTAGCTCAGTCAGACCAGGGCTGCTGTGTATGTGCAGCACTGCATCTTTATGGAGATAATTAGGCTTTAATGAGGTCTACTGAGACAGCAAAGCCTTTCTGCCTGTAACCCCCCATTTCAATAGCCATAGGTAGCTCCTGGATTCATGTTCTCCTGCTCTTCAGGGTCCAGTTTTGTTGTGCTGCTCAGGATGACGCTGAACATGGAGCTTGGGTCAAATAGGGGCAGGGGGGGTGCCTGGGGTCCTACTCCAGCACACAGTCCCCCCTGCCTGTCCCAGAGAGTCCACATTCCTTACAAGTCCTCTTGAAGCCTCTTTGCTGCTGCTCTGTATCATTTTTCCTTTGCTAAGAGTTTCTCTTCCTCGCAGACGTTTCGCAGCACCCAGGCTGTGCTCAGGACCGACTTCTTGCTCTCCAAATGGTTCAAGAATCTTAATTCCTGGGCATAAATCCTGATTGTTCTATTGGCTTTTCTGATAAACTTAACCAAGTTATTCCAGGCCTTTGTCTAGTCTGCCTTATCTCCCTTTATAAAGATAATATTCATTTGCCTTCTGGGGATGGAGTGAGACTGCACGATCATCAAGCACTCTGGAAATCCTCCACTGAAAAGGGAGGCAAGCAGAAATGATTATTCATGAAATCCCCAGTGTTATGACTTGTTATTACACGCAGCAGAATAATAAAAAAAAATAAAAATGCAAGTGGGCTGAATGCATCATGTATTTGATCTAAGAATTATTACAGTTTTGCCAATTA